CCTCCATTTAAAAAATAAATAAATAAACCTAATTACTCCCCATCACACCCCCAAAAAGTTAAAAATAATTGTTTTAAATAAACGATATACAAAAAAAACTCCCTAAATGTCCCACGAATAGGACCTGGATGAAAGACGGCAAAACAAAAACAGAAATGGTATTTAATGTACTGGATCACCTTCTGCACCATGTCTTCCCAGAATCGATTTCACCAGAGAAGAGCTGCAGACACCAAGAGCAGGAGCCAAAAACCTCCATAAGACCCCCATGAAGAGTGATCTAAAGATTTCACTGAAACGTAAGACTTATCCAAGTCCCATCAGTCACTTGTGGAACATTCCATTTGGCTTCTGCACAACAACAGGTATCATAACTGCCTCCTTATTAAGATAAGACCTGCCCCTGAAAAGAAGGATGGTGGAATCATCATCCTCACGTACGTCTTCAGGAAGATACCTAGACCTTCTTGAGTACTTCATGACTATCTCTGCATGCACTGAAAACTCAGGCACCTCCTGGGTCAGGACAAGCCATGTCTTTATTTTACTGTGTGATCTTTACTGCTTCAACTGGCCTTCCTTCTATGCAACCTGGCTCCCCTAATCTGTGATCCTTTCAGTCAGTGCCTTTCCCAGCTTAAGAACAAATCATGTTTTTATCATCTGCTAAATCTGTTTTTGCTGGATCAACGTTTAAAATGGGCTGACAATACTAAACATTTCAAAATTTTATTATTACATTTGTTCTAACTGGCATAACTGCATCTGACTGGAGGGGCTGTGCTTAAAAACAGGGACGAATGGGAGGAGGGTATAGCTCAGTGGTAGAGCATATGCTTAGCATGTACGAGGTCCTGGGTTCACTCTCCAGTACCTCCATTTAAAAGTGAATAAAATAAACAAACAAACAAACCTAATTACCTCCCCTCCTAAAACAAATAAATAAATAACAAAAACAAAATTTTTAAAAGGGAGAGGTTATAGCTCAAGTGGTAGACTGCATGCTTAGCATGCACTAGGTCCTGGGTTCAATCCCCAGTACCTCTTCTAAAAATAAAGAAATAAACCTAATTAACACTCCCCCCAAAAAATAGGGAAAAATGATTCAGAGGTAGCTAAATCTTTCTAAGTTCTTCTCTTTGTGATATGGAATTAGCATACATGTGCACTTAAAGAAAGTGCCTGGAGACCTTTGTATGATCCCAGGACACTGCATCAGGCTTCCTCCCACTAGCTACCTGGAGAAAGCTTCAGCATGTATCAGTGAGCCAGACTCTACCCATTTCCTTCCACTTAAGGTTTTTTTTCTTTCTTTCCAAAACACTGGATTTACTTTAAAACAAAAACAAAAATTTTTGTGCACAGAGTTTCTACATTCTTCAATTAACATTTTTACAAAGCATATCTTATTAATACTAATTTATAGAATTGATAAGCTTAAATTTATATATGTACTGTACTTGTCCTTTTCTATAATTTCTTGATAAATATTGAATTGGTCCTGCATATCATCTTCATGTTTATGAAAAACATCTCTTGTTGGATTCCTGTTACCACGGTTGTCTTTGATCTTACTGTGCTTATAGTAGTTTCATGTATCTTACAAATAGCCACTCTGTTTTCTTTAATATCTTCAAAACATTTATGAATTCTTTGAATCACATCTTCTTTAGTACTTAGATGTTGCTCATACTAGAAAGCAAATTGTAGCAAAAGTCTGTCCAAACTGACAAACAGGCTGTCATTCATCTTGGATACTGTGCTCAGCCACTTCTCCTGGACCTGAACGCCAATGCCCTTCCTTCCCCAGGTCCCAGACTCCACTCAGGGTCTCGAAGGCACGGGACGCAGCCCATGCAGACACTGAAATGCCGGAGCCCAGCTTTAGCCCTGCCCGGCTCTGCCGCATTTAGGTTTTGATAAGAGAACTCTAGCATTGTATTTATTTATTGAAATTTGAAGATTTATCCTAGTGTCAAAGCACTTGACGACAGAGTCACGGTGTACTGATAATCTAAAACTACTCTCACTTTGTCAAGTGTTGACAGTGATCAAACAACTTGCTATGCAACCATACTAAATAAAAGACAAATGCTAAGCTTCATTTTAATGCTTTTTAATTTTATGACTGATACAACATTTTATAGCTTTATTTTGTAGATGAAGTGTGAAATTATTGTTTTGCTGAGATTTCACTTATGTGAGGCCTTTAAAGAAACAGTAGGTTAAAAGTAAATCCCAAAATTCTATCAACATATTACTCACTTTGAACATGAATTGGATTTGAGAAATTTTAAACTTATAAGAGCTATTGTTCTAATTCTTATGATTTGGAGACTTAGGAGATTATGCTAATTTTCTTCAATTAGATTCATTATTCAACATGAAGCTACATTTAAAAAGAGAGAGAGACAGAAATAAGAATGGGCCCATAGAAGAAGCTGCCTTGTTGTAGGGGTAGCACCCAGTCAGAAGACTTATTCTAATCTTTATTCGGTTATTAACTTAGTTGAATTTAAGAAAATTACCTACTATTTTGGCACTTACTCCTATTTGTTACAAATTATCTCTTTTAAATATTTTTTTCAAAATTGGAGGAAAAAGCAAAAACTGCAAAAAAAATCTGCATATAGATTAAAAAAATATTGCCTCAAGAAATTCAGGGCATAAATACATTATTAATAGATTGCTGCTAACAAGATTTTTAATTAGCACTCAGAGAAAAAAAAACCAAACCTGAAGAAAGCTCATTACTCTATCAGGACTTTCCATGAGAAGGGTGGGATTAAAAAAATTGAATGCAAATTTTTCAAATTGCTGTTTATTCTGACATCTCTCTGCTGGCTCTCTCAGTTAAGCCTCAGATGAAGAGATGTCCAAGGGAGCAGGGCAAAACTCCTACTTATGTTAAATGGCTCTGGCTTGTAGGATACTTGGGGAAAAGCACAGATTAGGAAAAGATAGTTACATGAAGAGCAAAGTGTGGGGATACAGCATTTGCTTAATCATTTAAAGTCTAAATGTTAATTAAAAGTAGCATTAACTAGGAAATACAATCCCACCTCCTTCATGAGAGTGGCTGGCTTCCTGGAAGAAAAAGATAACCACCAATTCTACAACAGGCCTTCTAGCACCTTCACTCATCTCTAGTCAGCTTCTCTAGGAATTCCTTTAGGAATTGTGCCCAAGAAAGAAGTCAGTAGTTGGTTCACTGCAAGTCCTAAACTTAACAAATGAGTACTTAATAACAGCTCTGCGGACATATGTTTGCTTATTTCCCTTTTACTTCCAAATCTACTTCAAAATTTTCACTCATTTACCCTCATTCCAAGAGGAAGAGGAATCCCGGCATTTACTGAGGACTTACTAAGTGGGACTTGTAAGTGCTGGGTCCCAGTTATTCCATGTGTTATCTCAGAACATTCATCTTAATCTCCTGACTATTTTCATTCAAATCCCAACAGAAAACCTCTTACAAAGCACACTTTAAAACAACAGCAGCAATAATAATACACTATCTTAACACCTCTTTAAGATACGGATTTTTATCTATTTCTTACAAAGGAGGAAACTTGGGCTTAGGGAACCTGAGTCAACTGTGTAAGATCACAACGTAGCTACCAAGTGTTTGAATCTGAACTTGAACCCATGTTCTCAAATACTGTAGGCCCTTACACCACAGCTGCTTCCCCTCAAGAGTGGTACGGTCTCTGAAGACAAGGATTAATTTTACAGATAGCCAAAAGCACGGTGAATAAAATTATATTTTGAAAAGTAATTGAATACTTCTCAACGTACCTAGAAAGTATTAGTATTATTAAAGTGAGTGATCGAAGTGGGTAATACAATTTATAGTAATAAAAATTATCATCAGAAAGTACAGTTATAAAGTACTGAGATGGAGTTTCTTATATGGCTTGTGAGGCCCATAGAGTGTTCCCCCAGACTGATTTTAAGACTGGCATTGGTCTGATGGGTGTTCTCATAAAGTGATCATTTCAAAAGATAGTTGCTTATTCCTGTAAGTGCTGATACAATACCAGTGGAAATCAATATTTTCAACATCATACTTTATACCTCATTCATATTACCCCTGTAATAATTAGATGTGGTATGTGATATATAGTTAATGTAAATATAAATAAAAATGTAATCAATATATCATGTAATAGATATATTCATAAAGTGACAAACTACATCTTAGTATGTTTCATGAAATAGTCCTGAAGACTCATTAAGGACTTAAAAAAGAATTAAATTAAAAGATATGGGTGAAACAACATAAGTAGATGTTTCCCTATCTGGTGTCAAATAATTCTGTACCGTTTCCCTCACTAAATTGAATGAATCTTTTGCTTGTAGCCAGTTTCCTTAACATGAAACCCAAATTCTTTTCAAAAAAGTAGTGATAATGTCTAAAATACAACAGTTCTTTATTTGCTCATTATGGGATACTCTCAAGACACCCCAATTATAATAACATGGATTATGTAAATTCAGAAGTTGCAGATATTTTCTGCTATCTGGTGAAAAGAATATGTAACACTTGAAGGGAAAATTACTACCTGTTTTAATCAATTAATGAACATTGTATAGTTTAAAGTCACATTAAAAGTACTTAGGACATTTAAAGTATAGTGGGGGAAAAAAACAGGAGATCAGGCCAAGGAAATTTAAGTGTTAGTGTGAGAAAATGAAATGTTAAGGATATGAAAAAATATTTTCATCAAGAAGGAAAAACTAGTTTAGTCTATATAATCAGGAGGAAATGTCTATGATTTACCAATTGCTGTTTTCTCTTCTCTTCCTCTTAGGGGGACATTTTGCCCCTTCTGGTGCAATTGTTCCTGTGGTTGAGTCAAATGTAGGAGCCTGGAAAAGGACATGGAGAAGTTCAAAGTCAGGGCTCTCTCCTCAGCAAAAAGGGAGATCAGACCACCATCCCCTTGAAACCTGCTCCTTTCTCATCCTTAAGAGAAGCTGGTGGAGGGCTGGCTTCCTAAATTGCTTTAAATTATGAAATATCTTGAAGAAGTTCTTCAATCTTCTCTCTATAAAGAATATTTAATGGGGTGATGCTAAAAACTTGTAATTACTAGCTCTTTGCCAGGAGACGGATGAAACAATTATAGGGAAGAGTTCAGTAAATTGTCACTCAGTGACCCAAACTACCTCTGCCTAGAGATTATAGGGACAGATCATAAAGAATGTTGGAAGTTAGGCGGGGAGGGTTCGATCCCAGGCAACTGAAAGTCAGTTTCTTCAGGGACTTACAGGGGAGATGTCTGTGGCACAGAACGCCTGGAAGGGAGAAACTACCTAGGCGGTGACTCAGGCAGTACTTTGATTTCAGTCTGAGCACTGGTTGGGGAAAACACCAGCGATGTTAGGAGGGAAAAATCTTAACAAGGATGATCCATGGGGTGTTCTGAACTGTAAGAAAACATACAATGAGAATCCCAGTACTTTCCTTGCTACTGAGTTATTTTTATATTTTGTAAAGTCTAAC